ATGATCTTGGTCTTGCTTCCCTCCCACAGCACCTTTAAAATTCTTCCTTTCTGCTTTGAAACACCTCTATCACACCAGACCAGGTTTGTCAGATTATCTGTTTGACACTTTCCCTAACAAAACAGATTGACTCTTTGCACTGTGATCTCCTGGGAGACAAAGTATGTTGTAAAACTGCCAACAGAAGTTACTGGAATGATCTTTTGAGGGCAGCTATGTGTATGCATTTAATTTTGCAGACTGGCACAAATATATCACTCTAAGTCTGTGATTAAGTACTAACCACCATCAAAGCCTTTGATACATAATTCAAAATACAAGCATGGAGATGTTTCGTAGTTCTAGTATAAACCCTGATTATCTATTAACTTAGTGATAGCTACTTGATTTACATCATAGTGGTAAGTTCCATAGACTTTACAGTATCCCTTGTAAAGACAAACAATAAACAAAAGTTTAGGTGTATTATCTAAGCAAATACTTTGAAAATATCTTTCCAAGGGCCAGAGAAGATGCTTACCAGAGAAATTATAGGAGGATGAAACAGAAAGTATGAGTCTGGAATAAAAACCTTAAGAGGAAGAAAGTGAGCAGGTTTTATTGTCCATCAGTGTTACTATTTCCCTGTGTTCAAGATAAAGAACTGCGCCAGAGATGATGAATCCATTGAAAAATGGCATCATCCTTGTTCTCTCTTTCCAAGACATTTTGTCTCTGTTGCTTGCTGGTTGTCTTCATCCCAGTGAATTAGTTTTTATGACAAGACTTGCATTACTGTTTTCACCTAGCAGAACAGCAGGACTTGGTGAAGATCAGAGGAGATGCTGGTTGCAGTATCACCTCTAGTACCAGCTGTTTCTGTATTTCCTCGCAAGTGTTTGTCTTGCACATGGCTGACAGCTGAATTCTGTTCAAAAAGCATGACTAAAGCTGCAATAGGTACAAAGCCAAGTTTCCTCTTGGATCCTCTTCTTCCTCCTGCTGTGCCTCATGTGGCTGGCAGAGTTCCGCCATTGTAGAACAGAGATTGCTGGAAATAAATTCTTCTTAAGCAGACAGGCTTTTTTTCAGTTTTGACTCCAGGCTCCCAGCCCAAAGTCTTGAGCAATCTGCACTGGGAAAGCTCTGTGCATCTGTGGTAAGGCTCTTTTTTAAAGGCTTCTAATCTGAGGAATTTGTAGCAAAGAGAACCATTTTCTGAAAGACTGCATTCTGGGCAGATCTTCATTATCAGCCTTGTCCTAGCATATTCTCTGAGGTTTCCATCATATTAGGCTTTGGATTTAGATGCAGATCAGCTTATTTTTAGGTTTCTATACCTGCATTTATGTGAACTAACTAGCTGCAGAACAAATCAGGGAGGCATACAGTATTCTTGTACCTCTTGCCTATTAATTGATTCTTCACATTTTTTCTATACAAGTGGGTGACAGAAATGCTGTGTGCACATATTTTTCTCTTTCTGAAAAAGAAACACAAGATTCAACAGCTTATTTTCTATCACAGCCACGACTTCATTCATCATGTGAAATCCCAGGTTGCTCTGTGCTCTAAGATAGTCAGCATGTTAATCTTCTTGCAAGCAAGTAATTTTGTGAGGTTTCCTGCTCCTTTCCTATTTCTCTTGTTATTACTTCCAGATGACAGCGTCTGTAATGTTGTTGCACAACTCTACAAACCGAGGCACTTTTTAGAAGTGAGATTTTTTGGACACACTCATATCAGCATGATGTTTGTGGAACATTTTGTGTAACTGTCCAAAGAGTGTCCCTCTCTCATTTTCTTAGTGACAATGGTAGACAACCCTTCAGTCTGTCAGTAGTTAGAAGCCATCATCTTTCACCCAAATGTTGAGCATTTCTAGACAGTCTTCACCTGCCAGCTATATTTATTGAATGCTTTGGTGAATCATATAAAAATTGTATAAGCCTGAATTCTGCTGCAATATGCACTTTACAGACCCTTCACTTCTTTTACAGCTAAAAGGAGAAGAATGACTGTAGAGTTGCCATTCTTCTTCATCTGATTGTAAGTCCTAAATGCACATTCATGTGGCTGTATCCTGTTCTGCAGAATGGCAAGGCAATTTTACTATTGCTGTGAGCTCCTAGGTAGCAGGTTCTGCTGTTCTTATTTTCAATCACACCTAAGGTGTTTGATTTTTCCCTTAATCTGCTTTTCCTATTCTCATTCCACCTCAAGCAATGATTTAATTCTCTTTCCTGTGTTATCTACATGTGACACTACTAGGTGGTGTTTTTTTCCTGGATTTATTTAATGGATGATCTTGTCCTAGACTTCATCTGTAACAGATTGCCATACCCAGGCTTGGACTCCTATTTTTAAACACCTTGACAATATATTGCTTTTCTAGACGTTTCCATTTTCTGAAAGAACGCCTTAAGGTACCAGTATGTCAAACATCTTAAAAGCAACAGAGCATACAGAACGAATGAGAAAAGCCACAAAACAAAATCCCAGCTCATTCAAAGCATATCTGATTATTTTTTCTTTCCAAGATACTAAAAACACTGTTGCTGCATTGGCTACATCTAAGATGAAATGCGGAAGCTTGCATTGGATTGGAATATTGAAGATCCTCAAGATACTGATGTTTGTCTGGTATATTTTAATACTCCGTATCTTGCGTTCTTTAATCCAGGATTAAGAGAGATACAACAAGAGAGAACAAACAGACTACACTTGGGTAGCCACATAGTGTACCAGATTGGTATACTTATTCACTCACATGAAATTCTGTATCGCATCCCTCAGGGAAATATTAAGAGTAGCATATTTATTAGAGAGACAGTCATCCTAAAAGCTTTATTTGTTCAATTGAGAGCTGCTTAAACACTTACAATTTATAAGAATTTATAATTAATGCTTAAACACTGCTGTCATGCTGTAATCAGCATGACAGAAGGTAACAGACCAACATATTCATTTCTCACAGCATAGCTATACACTGAGCATGAACAGCTGGGATTACTATGAATGGGGAAGAACCATTTAGGTATGTAACAGAAAAGAAAAATACAAAGAATTATTTTTGCATAAAGGTGCTCTTAGCCCTTAAATACCTGTTCATTCCTTATGAAGCCACAATATTTTTTAAAGTGCTTTAACTGAAACAGTTTCTGGAGAAAGAATTATATCTTTTATTAGACTGACTGCATACAGTTGTAAAGAGTCAACTGTTTTCATTAGTTGTTGTCATGGCTTAACCCCAGCCGGTAACTAAGCCCCACACAGCCATTTGCTCACTTCCCCCCACCCTCCCCAGAAGGATGGGGGGGGAGAACTGGAAGAGTATAAGTGAGAAAACTCATGGGTTGAGATAAAGGCAGTTTAAAGGGTAAAGCAAAAGCCATGCATGCAAGCAGAGCAGAACAAGGAATTCATTCACCACTTCCCATGGGCAGGCAGGTGTTCAGCCATCTCCAGGACAGCAGGGATCTATCACACTTACTGGTGACTTGGGAAGACAAACGCCATCACTCCCAATGTCCCCCTTTCCTTCTTCCCCATCTTTCTGTGTTGCTCATGACACCATATGGTGTGGGATATTCCTTTGGTCAGTTGGGGTCAGCTGTCCTGGCTGTGTCCCCCCCCAACTTCTTGTGCACCCCCAGCCTGCTTGCTGGTGGGGTGAGGAGAACAGGCCCTGGCTCTGTGTAAGCACTGCTCAGCAGTAACAAAGACATATTATTAACAGTTTCCAGAACAAATCCAAGACATTGTCCCCTACTAGCTACTGTGAAGAGAATTAACTCCACCCTACCCAAAACCAGCCCAAGTGTTTCATAGCATATTGTAAGTACCTTAAATCTGAGTGGATTAAGGTGCACAGATGGAAGTGTTTTTCTTCATTAGATGTTAAGAGTGTTATTACAATTCAGCCACAACTGGCAGAAAAGAAAGCAAACAAAACAAAAACAAACATAAGGTGAGCCACTGGGAGGAGTGCTGTGGGAAGGATGCCTGGATTCTTCAGATTCTTCACTTAATATTTGTCCAGGGCATATTTCAGGGCTCCTGCCTGCTTCAGTGCATCCAACCTTTCATTGTCTGCCTCTTTCTGAGGTTTTTTAGCCCTTCCCCAGATTTCTCCCCTTCACACAGTCCACTGAAGTCAACGTTCAGCCAGAGAACAAACAGCCTTTCACACATCCTGAACCCCCTAAGTCCTAAAGAAATCGATTTATCAAGGGTGGTCCTTCCTGCCTCACCCCAGCACTACATGCTGTGTAACAAGGCTGGTGCAGGTGCCTGTCCCTGGAGAGGACTGGGAGCTGTGAATGTTGATCAGAGATTAACTACTGCCCACTGCTGAGAGCAGACCATGTTTGCCGCAGATGTCATTTCCCATGGACCAACTTCTTTCATTTCTCATGTAACAGCTTTTGCGGCTCCCTGCTCAGAATACAGGTGCTTGTAAGCCTCACTGCTTGAGATCTCTGTATGTTACATATAAGGAGTCCTTGCGCCTAAGGTTACATGTAGCTTTCACTGCCTGACCAATGCACAAGCCTTGGGTGTTGTAATACGTCCAATTGAACTACACCTGTATTATGCATGGCTGAGACTGTAACTGGTTTTATTCCTTGTTTTTAGCTTTCCAAGATCCATTTATCACTGAATTGAGAGAGCCAACCTGAAAGCAAGAAAAGGTGAGGAAAGCCAGGATATACTTTGAACAAAAACTGGGTAGAGCAAAGGAAAGTTGTGACCAAGAGCTCCCTCTTGTGTGCCACAGGAAGAGCAAAAGGTAGCAAAGAAGGAAAGAGAAAAGAGGAAAGAGGAAAGAGGAAGAGGAAAAGGAAAAGGAAAGGAAAGAGAGGAAGAAAGAGGGAGGAGGAAGGAGAAGGGGAAGGGAAAGGAGAAGAGGAAGTGGGAAGAGGAAAGGGAAGTGGAAAGGAGGGGAGCGAAGGGAAGGGGAGGGAAGAAAAGGGGAAAAGGCCCCACAGAACTGACATTTTGAAATAAATGGTTATCCATTTGAAATTCTTACTTACAAATATGGTTTTTAATAAAGTTGAAAATCAAAGTACAATGTTTCCATGCATACAGATTGACAAATCCTCCTTGTCAATAAAAGCTGGGTGTCTGCAGGAATTAATGTGGAATATTTCAGACAGTACAGGGGTCAGAACTTTTCTAATAATCTCCCTTCTTCTGATTCCACGAAGGCCAACTCCTTGTACTGGCAGCAGCTCTCAACCTCTTCCTCTGTGAATCTGTACATGCGGAAATGCAGTAAATGCTTTATTTTGGGAGCAGCTAAATTTGTTTTTCATCTAAAACATGTTTTAAATGCACTATTATTTTGGGGTGTCCTGTCTGGATGTGGTTTGGAATTTATGTAATTAATTGTCACAAGCACAGAAAATAGTTCTTTGAATTTGACATAAACAAGCTCATTTCTTCTTCACTGCAGTTTTGAGAACAGAGGTTAGAAAATCACTGAACCTTAAAGGAAAGGATAAATTCAAGCGGTTTTAAGGTCTGGTGATTTTTTCCTTCACAGCATGACTTTGCACAAATCACACTGAACTGGGATGAAACTGTTTGTTAGTGGTTAGTACACTTGAATGCTCTTCAAGTGTTCTGCAGGTGCCAAAGCTGTTCAGGGCTTCTTCTTCATGTACGAAGGACAATAGAAATTGAGATTAATTTGTATTGAAACGTGACTGACTTATTTTAATCTATTAAACTGAGCACTGTAACGGAAAGTAAGCAGGAATTAATATCTGGACATCAAGGTATGTTGTTTATGTAAAATCTGTCAAAGCAAGCCTAAAGCAAAGGCTTTCAAAGCTGAGGTACTTGAAACGGTGAAGCTTAACCATGTTGGGTGAGTCTGAGTAACAGGATAAAGCAATGCATGCTATGCATGAAGGCCTTTTCTCAAGAAAGAACTGTGCTGAAACTGAGTCTTAACCCTAATTAAATAGATTGTCCAGTAGGAAAGAAAAACTCTCCATATGACCCCCTCTAAAATATATTTATTGCATTTATTTTAGGTTTAACATTTAGATCAGGAAATCAAGTAAGGGAGCTAGGAGACCAGCATGGTTAAACAAGGAGCTGCTGGGCAAGCTCAAGTGGAAAAGGAGAATCTATGGATTATGGAAAGAGGGGCTGGCCACTTGGGAGGAATATAGGACAGTTGTTAGAGGATGTAGGGAGGTAATTAGGATAGCTAAGGCCTCCTTGGAACTTAATCTTGCTAGTCGGGTTAAGGACAATAGAAAGGGCTTCTTCAAATACATAGCAAATAAAACTAACACAAGAGGCAATATAGGCCCACTGCTGAACGAGGTGGGAGCCCTGGAGACAGAGGATTTAAAGAAGGCAAAGGTGCTGAATGCCTTCTTTGCCTCTGTCTTTACTCCTGCAGACTCTCCCCGGGGGCCCCAGATTCCTATTGCCCCAGAAGGAGTCAGGACAAAGGAGGAGTTTGCTTTGGTAGATGAGGATTGGGTTAGGGATCAGTTAAACAGTCTGGACATCTATAAATCGATGGGTCCGGATGGAATGCACCCATGGGTGCTGAGGGAGCTGGCGGAGGTCATTGCTAGGCCACTCTCCATCATCTTTGGTAAGTCGTGGGTAATGGGAGAGGTGCCTGAGGATTGGAGAATGGCAAATGTCACACCAGTCTATAAGAAGGGCAAGAAGGAGGACCCGGATAATTATAGACCGGTCAGCCTTACCTCCGTCCATGGAAAGGTGATGGAACAACTTATTCTTGACTCCATTTCTAGGCATATCAAGGATGAGGGGGTTATTAAGAACAGCCAACATGGTTCCATGAGGGGGAAGTCATGTTTGACCAACCTTATAGCCTTCTATGAGGAAGTGACTAGGTGGAGGGATGATGGTAGAGCAGTAGATGTGGTTTTTCTTGATTTCAGTAAGGCATTTGATACTGTCTCCCACAGCATTCTCATAGATAAGCTAAGGAAGTGTGGGCTTGATGATCAGGTAGTGAGGTGGATCAAGAACTGGTTGGCAGGAAGAAGGCAGAGAGTTGTGGTCAGTGGTGCAGAATCTAGCTGGATGTCTGTGACTAGTGGAGTGCCTCAGGGGTCGGTGCTGGGACCAGTGCTATTTAATATTTTCATCAACGACCTGGATGAGGGAACCGAGTGTACTCTCAGCAAGTTTGCTGATGACACTAAACTGGGAGGAATGGCTGACACACCAGAAGGCTGTGCTGCCATTCAGCGAGACCTGGACAGGCTGGAGAGCTGGGCGGGGAGAAATTTGATGAAATTCAACAAGGGCAAGTGTAGAATCTTGCATCTGGGGAAGAACAACCCCATGTGCCAGTACAGGTTGGGGACTGACCTGCTGGAAAGTAGCGAAGGTGAAAGGGACCTGGGGGTCCTGGTGGATAGGAGGATGACCATGAGCCAGCAATGTGCCCTTGTGGCCAAGAAGGCAAATGGCATCCTGGGGTGCATTAGAAAGGGTGTGGTTAGTAGGTCAAGAGAGGTTCTCCTCCCCCTCTATTCTGCCTTGGTTAGGCCGCATCTGGAATATTGCATCCAGTTCTGGGCCCCGCAGTTCAAGAAGGACAGGGAACTGCTTGAAAGAGTCCAGCGCAGAGCCACAAAGATGATTAAGGGAGTGGAACACCTCCCTTATGAGGAGAGGCTGAAGGAGCTGGGTCTCTTCAGCTTGGAGAAGAGGAGACTGAGGGGTGACCTCATCAGTGTTTACAAATATGTAATGGGTGGGAGTCAGGAGGGTGGAGCTAGGCTTTTTTCAGTGATATCCAGTGATAGGACAAGGGGCAATGGGTGTAAACTGGAGCATAGAAGGTTCCACATTAACATCAGGAAGAACTTCTTTACTGTGAGTGTGACAGAGCACTGGAACAGGTTGCCCAGGGGGGTTGTGGAGTCTCCCACATTGGAGATATTCAAGGCCCACCTGGACAAGTTCCTGTGTGATGTACTTTAAGTTACCATGCTCTTGCAGGGGGATTGGACTAGATGATCTCTTGAGGTCCCTTTCAACCCTTGGGATTCTGTGATTCTGTGATTATTTGTACAGTAAGACAACAAAGACAACATGTGAAATTTTATTACTTCACAAACAGGATAGTCACACATGGAGACAGAACAATAGAAACTGGGAAGACTTTGGTAACAGTAATAGCCGCACCAGCAACCTGGAAAACCAGCAACCTAATTTTTTTATTCCTTGTAAAGATTACCAACCATTAACTGGCTAACTCATAAAAAATTATAATGAAATCAACAAGTACAAAGACTCAGATCCTTAGTATTACAAATTAATATAGAGTTTCATGTATGATTGGAATTGGACATCACTGTGATTGGTATGTTTAAGAAATGAGCAAATCAAGCCAGTTTCAAGCTTTAAAAGAAGTACTGTTGTTCATAAACAGCTGAGGTAGCTAATAGTTCTTAAATCATTATCACTAAATATTCAAAACAATTAAGTCCTTAAGAAATATATCCCAGATGAACTGTGAGCACACACCACTGTGGAGCTGATGCTACATAGTAAGGGATGATGGCTGCACTACTTGGTGGTCCTTAGTCAACAAAGCCAACACGGCTGGGCTTGAGAGCATCTTGGGGGCAGTTTGCCTTCTTTCTTCTTCATTCAGTTGATATGTTATACGCTGTGTCCTTGATTCAAAAAAAAAAGGAAGTGATCACATCTACTTTTGATTACTTATTTTGGAGATCAGGAAAAGTTCTGCGTTTTGCTTATTCTGGAGGTGCCACCAGATACGTTTCTTGCCTGCTCTGTGGGATTGCCTTGGTTTCATAATGCCTCTTTCCCCTTCCACTTTATTTGGCTGGTTATTTGGTGACATATAACCAGTTGTCATTTCTCAAGTAAGCTTAATTTTGCCTTTTTAGAGAGGCTTTAAGAAAATAGCTGGAAAGAGTAAACTAGGAAAAACCTTAAATTGCACAGGATCACTTAAGCTGCAATGAAAAATAATGAAGTGAGTCTTCCTGAAATGTAGTTCTTGCCATGTGAAGAACACTCTGCACAGGTTTTGGATGTGGAATACTCTGCACAGGTATACAGGTCCTACAAGCCTGTAGTCACTGATTTAAGCAAAATGGCTGAAGCTGCCTCCTCTGGCACAGATCTATAATCTGCTTTTGAGCAACCTCAACTATTACGCAGAACTTAACTACCATCTGAAATAAACCCAGTGTTTGAATGAAAACAGCAGAGGTGTGAGGATTAACTGTAGGTGGGTAACATGGAATGGATACTTGGTAAAGCATCTGCCATTTCGTTTTAACCCACACCTGCAAATCTAGCAGAGCCTTTAAAGGATGAGTTCTGAGTGCCTCTTTTCTGTACAATTTACAGTCCTCAGGTGCCCAGGGTCCTTGTGCAGTGCTGTGAATCAAATTTCACAGGCACCACAAGCAGACTCAGGCTGAGGCTGAAGGATGAGGAAGCTGCTTTTGGCACTTCACATGCAGTCAGGCCGTTTTCCAGGGGAATCAAATGGGAGGCCAGGCCTACACCTTGACATGTTCATTCTCCTGCCTAGGAGGCTGGAGCCAAGTTTTCTTCTTCCTACTCAGCCTGATTTAACCACGGAACTTAAACTGAATATAGGGATGGAAGTTACCTTTGTTTCTGCTTTGGAATCTGCTCTGCTTTGTAAAGGTAACTGAGTTTTTACTGGAGGAGAATTTAAAGTCGACATTCCTGCAGTCAGTATGAGCACAATGATGAGTTTTGATCTCTAGAGCAACGGATCTTTCACGGAAGTGTGAAGCAGAACGCTTCAGATTCGATCCCACACATTCGAGTCCCGCAGCGCAGACAGCACTGCGGGCACCTCTCACTTGCGCTCGCCTTATTCCAGCTCCAGATCCTGCCCCTCGGGCCCGAAGACTCGGGTGCTTACACCCAGCGCACACCCGGCCCTGCACCCAGCCCTCCCGCCAGCGGGGGGCGCTCCACCACGGTCCCGCACACCACGTCTGCCGCCCCTCCCGCGGGGTGGGGCGGGGGGATCACCCGGAAACTGTCCCGGAGAGCGAGTGCTTCCGGGTGCACCGCCTGCCCGCTCGGCCGCTCCGCCACGCCGCCGCCGCCGCCTGCCGCCGGGTCGCACTCTGTCCCGGCTCGCTCCGCGTTCCCCCTTCGCTTCTCCCCGCGTCTGACGATGCTGCCGTGGGGCTCCCGGGCTTCGGGGCCGTGGGCCCGCCTGCCGCTGTTGTTTCTGTTAGCGCTTGCGGCCTGCGCGGCGCGGGCCTCCGAGATCACGTTCGAGCTGCCCGACAACGCCAAGCAGTGCTTCTACGAGGAGATCGCCCAGGGCACCAAGTGCACCCTCGAGTTCCAGGTAGCTGGGCGGCCGGGGCCGCCATCCCAGGGAAGCGCCCCCCCCCCCGCCGCGCTGGTGGGGCCGGGCCCGGCCCGGCCCGGGGCTTCTCGGCTTCCTCGTTCGGGGGGTGCTCGGGTACTCACTCTGTAGCGGGGAGAGGCGCCTGCATGGGAACAGCAGCTGAAGCCGGCGCAGCAAAACTCTACCCGTTGCCGTGTGCACCGCGGCTGGATGAGAGCAGGGATCAGAGAGCGGGCCCTCAAAACCTGCCAGTCTCGCACCCTGAACGCGGACCTTCGGGGTTCCTTGTGACCGGCGTGCCGCGTACCTAAACCTACCTGCCCAACAGCGTGCCGCACAAGTCACAGAGCCATAGAATGGTTTGGGTTGGAAGGGACCTTAAAGTTTATCCAGTTCCAACCCCCTACCACGGGCAGGGACACCCTGCACTAGACCAGGTTGCTCAAAGCCCCATCCAACCTGGCCTTGGACACTGCCGGGGATGGGGCAGCCACAGCTTCTCTGGGCAATCTCTGCCAGTGCTTCACCACCCTCACAGGGAAGAATTTCTTCCTAATGCCTCATCTGCAACTCTCTCTTTCATTTTAAAGCCATTCCCCCATGTCTTTATGAGTTTGGGCACTGGCTAAGAAAAAAAAAAACAAAAACGCAAAAAAGAGAAGGAAATCTGAGGCAGGAAATGGAGCCTGGGATTGCTCCAGATGAGAAGCTACAATGAAGGTGTGTACAAAATTTTACTCTTTGAATGGGGAGGAAACACACAGAATGCTCTTGACTGAAAAGCCGAAAACAAAAAACAGCCCAACCCCTTTCCCCCCAGCCACTATCCCTCTGAAACCCCAGTACCCATTCACCCCACAGCATGTGTGGGTTGTAGAGCATTTGCCTGGTGAGCACAGTAAAACATAAGGAGTTAATGCTTTACTTAGTTCAGAGTATGGTTCAAACTGGGGTGCCATAGCAAACTGTAAAATTGTTATACAGCAAAGTGTCACAGTCATAGAGCAATTCAGGAGTCTTAACACAAAATAAAATATGAGCAGCCCTTCAAACCCAAACCATTCTGTGATGTGAAATAGCATCTTGTTGAAGACTGATTAGCATGCACATAGTGAGTGATGCCCTACAGTTTTTCTTACTTTTTCCAGCCTCTTAACAGTTTGAACATGGAGCCATCATGATAGAACACACTGTTCAGCCGCAAGAATTATCAGGAAAAGAGCTATGACAATTTTGGTGCTTTTGAGGGTATCAGCGGGGTTGGAAGCTTTCAGTCTGTCACTTCAGCTGGTGAACTCAGGGACAGTACAGCAGCAGCACAAGAAAGAAATCATTCTTGATTCTGGGAATCACGGTTATCTTTGGGGGGCTTTTGAAGGAACTGTGTACTTTCTATGGTCCAGCTTTTCTAGTTGAAGTCCTGTGGGGTTTTTTCTTTCCCAGCTGCTCTCCTGCCTTTAGTATTTTGGGGAATGTTTATGCCAAGTATATGTCTCTGTTACTCTGGCCTACATGCTCTAAGATACCGTTTTCCCCACCCAAATGTTTCTTGCCCCTGTCTGTTACTTTCATAAAGTCTTTTCTGTGCAGTGCTTTCACCGTTGTTTTTAAGTGGATGTCACTGGAGTTTGCTGGACAGATAAGCCTGTGGTTGTTACAGCAGACATAATGACAGGAGTAGCCTTGTCTGGATTTGACCAACTGCTGGTAGAACAAATGTTCTGTGCTCACTCTTTGGCGGAGGGGAGACTCAAGCAACCCCTCTAAGAAGGAATTTTAGGGTAACTTTAAAACTCTGGCAAATCTTTACCATGTGTAAGTAAACTGGCCCTTTCAGGGTGCGTGATATAACCAAACGTGAGTGATTTTCATTAGTAGAAAGCACCCCCCCGTCAAATTTGAGATCAGACTTAAAAAATGATCCATTTTTTCATTGTAGAAAATCTAATTTTTTGCTTCTCCTTCCAACCAGGTAAGCATTTCTGTATGAAAAGCCAGATGCAGACATCCAGGGAGAGACATCTGGAGATCCAGACATCCTTTTTTTTTTCCTCTCTCTTTGTATCCTGTTTTGAATTCAAAGCACATTTTTTGAAAGGCTATGAAGATACTGCTTGCCAACTGAGTGTTTTTTAAACTTCCTGTTTGCAGAGCAGCTGCTGCTGAGATCTCTTGTTATTTCAGTTGTACTGCTAACGTTACAATTTTAATAACTTGATACCTAAATAAACTGTGAGTTTAAGTAATGCTATGTGAACTGAAGTGCAGATATTCAGACAGTAAAATATTTCAGTGATTTCTGCACACATAAAAAAGGGACATACCTTTAGCTATAAGTCTCTTTGTTCTTCAGCATGCTTTAGCTTGAAAAGTTTTGGATCAAGGATTAAGTGTAAAACTGCTAGCCCAAGAGTCATCAAGATACCAAGTTACGAATACCTAAGCTGCTGATTAGTCTTTCTGTAGAGGTGGGATAGGTAGCTTACAGAGCAATATGCTGTAGACCAACAAGAATCAAAGCCTGAAAAAAACCTTGAGACAGTCATGAAGTTTGGAGTCACTTGTATGTCTTATGTGCTGTTGTGCAGCATGTGCTGTTTTGGGAAGAACTGCTATGGCTATCTGGGCAGGAGGGAGGCAGCAGAACATAGCTCCATTCACCAGTACAGGAGGACTGGCAGGTTGAAATAACCTGTTCTACCAGTTGAACACCATTCCTACATCCTGAAGCAGCTTGAGCTAATAGTAGGGTAGTTACACTCTCGACCATAGGGGCAGTTTTATTCCACATTAGTAATCTCAGCTGGCTGAACCAATTCCATTCAGGACTTGTGGATACAGTAAGCAGTCTGTTTGTTACAGTGATATCTTTACTGCCCCATCGAGTTACATCTGCTGTAGCTTCCGCTATTGTACAATTATTTATATCAAAGTAATTAAAGTTATGCTTTGTAAAAGGTTTGGAACTAGAGCTGACGTTACATATGCTGAACCTAAAGTGTTTTGAATTATGTTCTGTGTCTTAAATAAGAAAATAATTTTTCAGACTTGCTTTGAAAGATTTTCAAATTAATGCATTATATTTTAAAACGTGTAAGGCACAAAATTTTGCACTGCCACTTGACAAATCATGCTTCAAAGAAATGTATAAATGTCCACTTTGTTAAAAAGACAATTTTTTTTGTTTCCAGGTGATCACTGGAGGTCATTATGATGTTGACTGTCGGTTGGAAGATCCTGATGGCATTGTATTATACAAAGAGATGAAGAAACAATATGATAGCTTCACGTTTACTGCATCCAGAAATGGAACATACAAATTCTGCTTCAGCAATGAATTCTCTACTTTTACACACAAAACTGTGTACTTTGATTTCCAGGTTGGAGAAGATCCACCACTGTTTCCTAGTGAGAACAGAGTAACTGCACTTACTCAGGTAAAACACTATTGTGTTTGACTGGAGCTGTTAGCTGTTAGGTTTGGGGTTTTTTCCAAGTTCAGCTGCATTAGATACCTATATCGCTTTTGAAAATCAGTGAATTAGAGCTTCTAAAGTAATCTGAATGACTGCAAATAAGCTTTCATTCTGAAGATAAGATTTATGAAACACATAAGTCTCATTTGTTCCGTAAGAGCTAGAAGGAATCACCAAGTGCTTAAGAAAACTTAGGGTAGAAAGTTAAATGCTAGGCCAGTTTCGTTTCTTTTTCTTTTTTTCTTTTTTAAGGTAGCTTCCATTTGTTGCCATGGTTGTGTGCTTCTTGAATTTAGATTTCACAAATATCAGTGCATCAGGGTTTTAAAAATTTCCAAACTTTGGAAAAAAATTGAGAATTGTTTTTACATTTAAAGTAGTAGAGGTTTCAGGGGGGGAGGACTTAGGCTGAGTTCTCATGTAGACAATATAAGACACTATGTATTAAGTGACTATCTTGGACTTGTTCAGACACCTGTCTTGAAAATCATCAAGATGAAAAGATGGTTAGACACAGATACAGGCAACTGAAAGTGGCCCTATCAGGGTGTTAAACATTTCCTTTTATAATAGTTTGTGATGTTTTATCTTCAGGAAATACTAGGTTTTAGCCATAAGACACAAAAAATAATTGTGACTAGAAATTATTTTGAAGATCTATTGGTTAATCTCTTGGTGATCAAAACAGAATGAGAATTACTGACTTTCACTTACTGAAGATGAACTGAAAGTAGAATTGTATGTGAAAAATGATCTAGGGCTTCGAAAACTGGTAATATTTTTTAATGAAAAATAACAAGTTGGTTAAATTCCTAAGTATTTGTGTATGATTATGTGAACACTGAAAGGAACAGAACTTAACCTTTCTTTAACCACTTTTTGTGTACATGACTAAAGAGGATCTCTTGCCAAAACATTTTGAATTCAGTAACATAGATCTTAGTGTGTCATATAACTCAACTGAGAATTAGAATTATGCAGTGAAGAATGGAATGAAACAGATAAACATTTCATATACTATGTATCTTAATGTTAAAACCAACTGCTAGCTTTCCTGGTAGGTGTGGAATTAACTGGGGGATCACTGACATTTCAAAAGTGTTTCTAATGTTCATTTTGAGCCCAAATGTACATGAATGTAAGATTTGTTTAGTTCTTAAGAGCCTGTTGCTCATTGCTTTTTATTAGATCCACAGTTACGCACACTTCTGTATTTAAGTCTGTCGCATTCCTGTGTACAGAATTTGGTCAATGCAAGTTAAATTTTACTGCATTTACAGTATTTCAGTCTGACAATGGACTGATTTAATCCCTAGCTTGCAAAGTTACATGAATCCCAATTTTAGAGAACAAACCACGAAACTTCACAGAAAGAGCACTAGGAGGCTTCTTAATCCAGTGATTTGTATTTGTTTCTCTAGATGGAGTCTGCATGTGTTTCAATTCACGAAGCTTTGAAGTCTGTCATCGATTATCAGACTCACTTCCGCTTGAGGGAAGCGCAGGGCCGCAGCAGAGCTGAGGATTTAAACACGAGGGTGGCCTACTGGTCAATAGGGGAAGCAATCATTCTTCTTGTCGTTAGTATCGGGCAGGTATTTCTCCTCAAAAGCTTCTTCTCAGATAAAAGAACCACGACAACCCGTGTTGGATCATAACTGGTAGTGGTAATGCTTCATGTCATTGTGTGTTACTTATCTGTTGAAGTTAACAGTTCTGCAGTTAATTATAGGTACAAAGGATGTGAATGTATGCAACATTTAAATGAGTCTACTCCTCATCCCTTAAAAATCACAAGTCAGACCTAAAAAGATAATGAAAGGGACACAGTATTTGAAACATTTTCTTCAACTTAAGTGTGTTCTGATTCCTGCATTAAATACTTGGCAGTGACCACTCTCACTTTTACTGAGATTGATTTTACCAGTAAGATGAGCCATCTGGGAGTATAACTCTTTAAAGTAGCCCAACAGTCTAGTGTCTGATTTGAGAGACAGTATATATGAAACTTCTGTTTTATTTTAACCTTCAGGCTGATTGTATTGGATTACACAAAAGCAAATGCGATGAATTTTAGTGCACTGGTTTGATGTGCTGTTAGAAAAAATAATCCATTGGTACCCCTTGCTTATTTGTAAAACTGTTGCGAGCTTGACATTACATCACGGCGCAAATTTTCCATCAGCCTGCTAACTCCATCTTCAAAACTTGCTAAATTATATACTTGAGTATGTTTGCTTAAGCATGCATTCTTTTATATTAGAACAAGTTTTTTAAATTCTTCTTTTCCTAAATTATAAACTGAGACTACTCAGGAAATCCACTTCCTGCATTCAAAAATCCAAATCTCCAAGTTTATTTAAAAACATGCAGTAAAATAGGGAATCTTTTGTCACTGAAACTGTGCAGTTTCTGTACTCATACATGCTGCTGCTGCTTTTTGGATTTTAATACCATAGGTAGCTTGGTTTGTTAAGCAGCACAGCACCAGCACTGGACAGGGTTATGTTACGTGTTAGGCACATATAAAGCTTTTTACTAAATTGTTTTCCTATCAAAAGGCCAAGTTGATACTGATACTGCATTGCACAAGTGCTGTAAATTTTACTTTCCTGTGTGTGGTGCACTGATACATGATGGCCTTGTGTATCTGGCTGGCACTCTTTTTTGCTAGTGGTCAGGAAATGTTTTAAATACTTCAGGTTATCTTTTTCTAGTTAGAGTTGCCTTGTTTCCACTGCTCATCTCTTTAGTAGCTTATGTTCTGTAGAGTCTTGTTTTATTTTGATGTGGAAGCTCATAGATGCATGTACATACGAGTAGCTTGAATTGAGCTGGTCATAACAAGGCTAAACTCCTTCAAATGGCTCTGGAGGATTAAGTAGAACCAACCAACTCTTAAGTACACACAAACTAAATGAAGGTGAAAAAATTCATCATACATTACTGGCTAAATCAAAAGATGCTTCTTAAACAAGTTTCCAGCAACCCAAGAAAGGATGCTAAACCCTTATCAATTGCCTGTATTGTTTCTAGCAAAAATGTGGAATTACATGTACAGGTGACACTTGAGCAGTCTCAAGAACTGATCTAAGATGACATGAGTTTAATATCTTGTGATCGCTGAGAAAATTAAACAAAAGGGCACCTACTCTCTGTTGTGAACTGAATGGCTGCTCTTTTGGAATTAAGAAAAAACGCAAAACAGTTCAAAAAGTATTTAAAAGGCCCCAGGGGTATTAAAAACCTTAATGTATGTAAAATGCAGGATTGTATGTAAAGTCTTCCTATCCTGTACTGAATTCTAAATACTGCAGTCCCATTTTAGGATGCAAGCTTTCCAGAAATATTAGGCTTACAAAGATCAAAAAACTAAAAAATCAGGGCTTTCTTCTCACGATACGAATCTGTGCCTGCAAGCACTATTCTTGATTGTACCTATATGCTTTATTCCTGTGTTTCAGCAGCTGATACTCAGTACTTTTTGTGTTGCATTGCACACAATAATAAAGCAAGTGGTACATTTTGGGTGCAAGTGTTGGCTGAAAATATGATTTAATTTTGATAGTGTCCACTGTTACCTTCTGGAGTTTGAGTATCACTTATGTAGCTTTAATCACAACAAAATTATTTGTTCTAAGATTGAAATGTGTTGGGTTTTTTTTTTCCACTGATTTACTCTGTGTTCTGTCAAAATCGGTAAATGGGGGTATAACACATAATGGTTGGACATCACATACACGTCTTTATTCTTTCATAATGTTTGAATGTGCAAAGTGGGACTGTTCAGCTCAAAATTACTCCCACTGCAGAAGTATAGTGGACTTGACTTTTGCATTGAAGTTAGTTAGGTATCTGAACCAATCCTCTTGTATCCTGCTGCAAAATATGCAGCAATAGCATAAAAATGCCTTTATTTTTGTGTTACTAAAAACATGGCACAAATACACATTTAAACATAGCTGTATATAGTTTTTAAAATAAGTGACTGAATAGGATATAGTAAAACACATGCTAACATGCAGCAGGTGGAGAAATGCATTGTGACTTTTGTTTAAAGCTGCACCTTTTTAATATATGAAAAGAATAGTTTGGTTAATGGTGTGATGCACAAGTAAGCAGCCTGTGTTAAAGGGGATATAACTATTTCTTAATTGCTAAAGGCCCTGGGTTTCAGCTATTCCTTGGATGTTTTATGTTTACAGAACTTCTTTTCATGTCCTGTAATGTTGTTTCTTCAGTTCGGAGGTAAAAGAAAAAAGTTTAGTTTGAGTAAGACAAAAAGCAGACCCTGTGAATATTGTATGGGAAAATAAAAATTAATATATGAATGTGGTCTGGTTGCTTTGTTTGCATGTGGGAGTGGGGAGCATTAGTCTTAAAAAAAAATCTTAAAGATTTGAGTATTCAGGTTGTATTTTAACACATCACAGCGAATCTACCATGTGACACTTGATCATTACTTTTGTTGCTTCTGTCATACATAACAAAGTGTACCAGTTCACTGCTGTTCATAACTGGCTGTGCTTTCAGGTTACTGGGAGAACTCTGCTTTCAGCAACATAGCATGGTTACTGGCCTTTTGCTGAGCATATTAGCAGGGCAGGCAGTAATACTCAGAAATCTGTTCTTATTGGAGTGGAATTCAAAGTATTTGACTATGGATGCCAGGACTGACTTGGGGCCTGCTGCATGTTTTCATGTTAATTCTGGGGATACAAAGTTAATGCAGGGTGTGCTACAATGGTACATCCAATTAGCATTGTCTAATGAGACATACACTTGAAATGTAATGTAGATGTAGTAACTGAATGTGTGATTGGAGATCCTTTATATTGTGTAGCTTCTTCCTGAATCTTACCACATACCAGTTAAGGTTTTAAAAACAGATAGACTAGGCATCATTGCTTTGTGTGGGCACCTTCCAGAATGGCTTTTTCTGCCTGTTTGTTTCTCCTGTGTCTATTGCTGTACATTCAGAAATTTTCAAGAATATTTACTGTACTTGAATTAAAAAAAGCTTTTGTCTAGAAGCATGGTTAAGTTCTCCTCTTTCAGTGTTGTGTTCTTGTGGTCAACCATAGTTGTTTGGAGGCTTTTTAGGTGCTTTGGCACCCAGAATTTGTAAGTAGCTTAAGATAAGTTGTAGTCTAAAGCACTTTTACACTGAAAGCTCATCATTTTACCAAAGAAATAAAATTAGGTAAGTACTGAAAGAAATTTTTAAACCCTGACCCTGCAATTCAGCAGCAGGTTCCTCAGGGGTTCCCACTGACCAACTCCCTGAACAGCTGGAAGTTTACTTTCCTAAAATTCAGGGTCCTGACTATACTCTTCGCATGTCTCTCAGGACTGCAAACTCCACCAGTGCATGATCACTGTAGCCCTGGCTGCTTCCAATCTTGCACCTCTGAGCAGCTCACTTGCATTAGAGACCATCAGGTCCAGTATCACATTCCCCTGGCAGGACTGTTACCTGGCTTAAGAACTTATATTCAATGCACTACAGGAGTGGTTTGTCTACAGCTTACCATGCTACTTTTCGAGCAGGTGTTGGGGTGGCTGAAGTCCCTCAGCAGGATCAGAATGGTGACAATGCCTCCTGCAGCTGCAGTAAGAAGGCCTCATCAGTAGGCTCCACTTGGTTGGGAGGCCTGTAGTAAACACCACAGTTGCCTTGGTTACTAATTCTTACTCATAAGCTTTCAAACTGCCTGTGGCTATTCTTCAGAGACAGCTCTTCACAGTCTATTAATCCCTGAGGCTTGGACACCCAGATGGTAGTATCAGATGAAAAAGGAAACAGGCACATCTGAACAGGTATTTCATTTCCACATGGCAATGTGGAAGTATGGAAACCACCTCTTTTCATGTGGTTTTGAAGCAAGAAAGGTTATTTTTTTCCCATGTTGCAGACAAGGCAGTGTTCCAGAGAAGCGCAAATCCTTCTGCCTCAAGTTCCTCAGTGAGTCTGGGGAAGGAATTTCCATGAAAAACAGCCACATCTGGCTCTGGAAGGAATCCCTGCTAACTCCTTTGTTTTATTAAATGCAGTGACAGAACTGAGATATTCACTAATTCAAAGCAAAGGGCTGATTTGCAGCATTTCACAGGGTTGGTTTTACTGATTCCTGTGTAATCAGGTTCATAAATAGATTCGTTTAAATGAGGCAAAGACACATTAAGCATTTCTATTAACAGTTCTACAGATACTTAACACTGGCTTTCCACCCAACTTCAACTCTTCTTCCTGTAGTCCTCAATGGGTATCCATGGTGACAGATTTTAGCAGCCTAGAATTCAAACCTGGATAATGAGGAAGAAATTCACTTGCCAGGTGCTTCGCAGCTTTGCAGTCCAAATTACTCCTTTATTCCACTCAGCTGTCATGAGCTCTTGCAGAGCCTTCTTGAATAATAAGGATTTAATGAACTTTCACATCACCTTTCATCGATCTGTCCTTAATGAAGGACACTGTATTTACATCTGTCTTAGTGATGAGGAAAGTGAAGAAAGGAAAAATTTACCTTCAGAAAAGCAGCAGTAGCCCAGTGAGAAAGAGGACTTCTAGCTTTCATCCTGTGCACTGCTCCTCATTGTACTCAGATTCCCAGAGGAATGAGGAATTGTGTTAAAAGACTTTGTAGACAAAGTTCACACAAGTTCAAAAGGCAAGTGAACAACTACATGGAGAAAAAGTTCTACCAGCCTTGTATTCTTTCAGTACAAAGAAGTATTTTTTTGCTTAGGAAAGCTCTCAGCCACAGAGGACTGCAGACTTGGAGGGGTGTCCCCCTGGAAACGTGAATTCATCTTTACAGGATTTTCCTGGGAAGTGGTACTGTTGCATTTTGTTTTGAGAATTGTGTTGCCATTCCCATGTTACTTTACAGTCTCTTTGGGCAAGCGTGTTCATCTGTTCTCAACATTGCAGCAAGTTTTTACATGCTGTCTTTCCCCACTGCCCTCTTCACAGACACGGCCATGCAAAAACACATATACCCAGTTGTAAAATGATGAAGATACGGCTGTGTATGCCTTCCTTACAAAAAGGATGAAACTTACCTGCTGGTAAGAGTAGAAGTGGACTTTTGGGAGACAATGTTAGGAACTCCTTTCAAATGCTACCATTTGAGGGTGTGAATACATGAACACAGGTTGAACATTTTCGTCAGCACACAAGCCAACAGGAGCAACTGTACACTGGCTCCAGAGCAGTGTTTCTTTGCAGTACTATAATTCACCTGGGTGTGTTTAACTTGAACCAGGGATGCTGAGGGAACTCCACAGTACAGTTTCCTCTGAACAGCTGTGGTCTCTCTGGTGTTCAAAGTGCAACCCTGGTTGTGTTCTGTGCCCCATGCTCATCCAGCAAGTTACGAACCTGTACTGACAGGGTAACAGAAGTGGCAGCCATCCCATAGGGTAACAGGGATCTTGGAAGGTCTCTGACCCAACCTCCTGCCCAAAGTGGGGTTGGCCCTGGGGCTAGATTAGGACGCTCAGGGCTTTGTCCAGCTGGGCTTGAAACTCTCCAAGCATGGAAATAGCACAACCAGGGCAACCTGGCCTACTGCCAGAATGCCCTTCATGGGGTAAAGGTTGCTCCTCATCTCCAGCCTCACCTCCTAGTTCCACCTGGTGTTCTGTGCCCGGTGGGCAGAAAGTGGTGATGGCATGAAGTGCTAAACTGTGATGGGAGCAATAGAATGTCTTCAACATCCCTTGCTGTTTATATCAGGCACCAGTAGAGCCTGTCCCAGCCTCGCTCATAACCTTCTCAATTCTGACATTTGCCTATGTGTCTTCTGTACACAGGCACTGACTGAACACGTGCATTAGAGCAGCAATGACAGGCTGTTGGCATCCCTGTTTCCATACTCCTAATTCCTTTCCAAGATCCCCCCTCCAGCTCATAGCAGGTGCCTCTGCCAAACGATAAGTCACCATCAATGACTGCACACTGCAAAAAGCAAATCACAACTTTTATTGCTACACTATTGTAACTATGATCCCTGGTAAAGCAGTGAAACTGGGAGATGGGAGTACTGTGCTTAGCAGCTTTGCACACGAATAGCACCAGGAGCCCCAGGGCTGCCACAACCCTCTTGCACCGTGCGCTGCATCAAGAGCTTGAAGAGTTCTCCCTTTGTATGAATTTGTCATGTTCCTGCTGCTCAGCTGGGCAGGATCCCTCCATGGAGGCAAAGTCCTCCCTTGTGTCTCCCCAGCCACATCCCAGGGTTTTCAGCCTGGTCAAACGCACACAGAAAGTGTGACAGGACCTTTTCCATGTCACTTGGAATAGTCAGTGAGGTTCATGGCCCCCACGCACACACGTTGAGATTGTGTGAAATACCATAAGCAGCAATTTCACTCTAGTGGTCTAATTTAAACACAGTATTTCTTATGAATTGAAAATAAAAGGATGAGATAAAATCAACTGCTTGCACTTTGTACATGGTCATGCACCTGGCAAGAGTTAAGCTAGGAAGGTAACACAGAATCATAGGATGGTTTGGGTTGGAAGGAACCTTAAAGCTCATCCAGTTTCAACTCCCCTGCCGTGGGCAGGGACACCTCCCACTAGACCAGGTTGCTCCAAGCCCCTGTGTCCATTCTGGCCTTGAACACTGCCAGGGATGAGGCAGCCACAGCTGCTCTGGGCAACCTGTGCCAGCACCTCACCACCCTCACACTGAAGAGCTTCTTCCTCATATTTAATCTAAATTCCCCCTCTTTCAGCTTAAAGTCATTACTCCTTGTCCTAACCCTACATGCCCTTGTAAAAAGTCCCCCTCCAGCTTTCTTGTAAACCCCCTGCAGGCACTGGAAGCTGCTCTAAGGTCTCCCCCTAAGGAGCCTTCTCTTCCCCAGGCTGAACAAGCCCAGCTCTCTCAGCCTGCCTCCAGATGAACGACACGAGGTGTTTTACCTCCGTTCGAGCAGCCAGTTCAACCCCTCGGTTTCCCTGGGGCCGGGATGGGGGGCCGCTGCCTGACAGGAGCGACCGCGTTTCGTGACGCGGAGAGGCCCGGCACCGCTCACCTCCGAGTCGCAGCCCCGCTGCCCCGGTGCTCTCCCGGTCGGGAGGGGCCCCCGCTCTCAGCAGCCGCTGGCCGACCGGAAGCCGCCGCTCCCGCCTCAGGTGAGGCCGCCGGAGAGGGCGGTGAAGGAGCAGGTGCTGGTGCCGGGCGGGGAGTGGGATCGGGCATTTCCGGGCCGGAATCCTCACACACTCTGGCGGGATCGTCCTTTTCTTCCGCCCGGCGCTGGCCGCCCTTTGGACCCCGCGGCAGCTCCTTCCCGTCCCGTGAATGAGAAGTAGCCG